TACCACACTGATGAATTTTCTGATCTGCTTAATCACTGAATGTTTATTATAGCTGAAGCCCTCAGGTTTCTTTTTCTAGAAATGTAATTTTGCAGTACTCTACTAATGGCAGTAAAGAAGAAACAAATTTCAATCATTAGAGATTTAGTGTCCTTTCCTATCATCTTCTATTTCTCATACCAACATAATGACTGCTGCATTTCCTCTGATTTTATGAGTTTTGTTTTAGATTCACACACAAGCTATGATGTGATATTTGTCTTTTTCCATCTGACTTATTTTACTTACAATGTTATTCTGCTTCATTCATGTTGTCACAGTGACAACTCTTCTCTTTGAAGGCTGTTTGTATATAATGCTGCAGTGGTGTTGTCCACTCTTCTGCTGACAGACACAGTTTGATTTCATAATCTAACTCCTGTGAATCCTGCTGCAGCCAACATGGACTCAGGTACAGCTTTGACAAAGTCACTTCAAATACTTTGAATGGACACCCAGAAATAGAATTACTGGCTCATATGTTAGCTTTATTATTAATTTTCTGAGGCATCTCCAGATTATTTTACATTTGTAAAACAGGGTAAATTATCTTCATTGTATATTACCTTATCAATACTTATTATTATTTTTAATTTTTGTTAATAGACACACTGACCAGTGTGAGAAAATATCTCATTGTGATTTTGTTTCTCTTTTCCTATTTCTAATGATACTGATATTTTTATTCATTTATCTGTTTATCTCTTTATTAACTCATTCATTTTAGTTTTAAAAAGAATACAAAAAAGTAGTAATACACATTATCAACTATAAGAATTTCACTAAACAAAAGATAGGAAATCAATAATGGTTGTTATATAGCTTATTGGCTTCAAGTTAGATGTTCAGATTAACAGACATATACATGCAAAATTGATCAGATTAACAGGTAAAAGTATGCAAAATTGGTCAAAAATTATAAAAAACTAAAAAAGGAGAAAGAAAAACATTAAGCATTAACTACTTATTTCAATAGACCAGCAGAAATCTTCAATACAAGTATCTAAGCTATTCTGTGTATACACAAATATAGTCAGCTTTTAAAAAATGTATTTGTAGAATACCCTGTCCTAAATATAGGAAAAAAATGTATTTTTTGTTTATTTGTATGTCTTATGAGAAATACCATCTCAGGGTCTTTGCATGTTTTTTAATTGAGTTTTATTCATTTGTTTTCTTGCAATTGCAGATTTTGAATTTCTTATGTAGTTTGCTTAATGAACATATGTATGGATTGCATAAATTTTTCACAACCTTTAAATGTTCTCTGTTTACTGTTGTTTTTCTTCTGATGAAGATATTTTTTAGTTTGAGATAATCCCATTTATCTATTTTCATGTGCATTGCTTACAGTTTTGGAGTTAAATCCAAAGAAAATAATCTACTGAGAAATTGTAATGCAGTTTATCCCTATAATTTTTGTAATTATTTTTGAGTTTCTGAAGGTATGTTTTAATCTTCCTCATTCCTCCTGTGTAATGGCAATCTCAGCTCTGCCTTTGCACTCTATAGTCTTTCTGGAGCTTCCTTTCTGGCCACACTTACATTTTCGATCATTCTGCTGGGCTATTTGCTCTTCATTCTCGACACAAGTCTGACTAAGAGCCCCCAACAATAGCCATACCACTGCCCCAATATTTGACTGCTTTGAGATTTCCTTCAAAAGATTAGTCAGGCCACTGTGCTTAACTCAGTCTCAGGCAAAGTCTCCAGACATGGGCAAAATTCTCACAAACTTTTTGCCAAGCCAATACACAAATGATCAAGAGCCCAAATCCAATGCAGTCCTTCTTCCTGGCAGAAACCTCCTCAGCCTGGTCTTTATAGGTAGGCTTTCTATCAGGTTGCTGTTCTGAGTTATGAGCAGAATCTTCTGTACAGTACAGCCAAAACTTTTCCACTTCTTCTCTTGTAGGTGACACCTCCAAATCTTTCTTATCTCTTCCCATAAGCCATTTCCAGAAGCTGGTAATCCACATGTTCAGGTTTAGCCACAGCTTGGGGGCCAGGGAGATAGTTCAGTAGAATAAGTGTTTGCTTTGCAAGGGAAGGGTCATGAATTCAAGCCCTTGTACCATAAAAAAAAAAGCAATGACTCCACTCCTGTGGAAGCAAATTCTGTCTCAGTTACTCTTCTCTCATTGCTGGGACAAATACCTGACACTCAAAATGAGGGAAAGAAATGTTTATTTAGCTCAAAGTTGCTAGAGTTTTTATAGTTTAAAACAGCCTGAATTATGTAGCAAGACCTAGAGGAGAGGGCACTGGGGTGCCCTTGAGTCCAGGATGATCCATTCCATACCTCCAAGAAAGCCCACAGGCTTGGCGGGGCAGAGTACATACTGCCAGTTTAATCATTGAAGCCTCTCTGGCCTGGCCCCTCAAGCCCCATCCCTCAAGTCCCACCCTGGTCCTCTGGCCTCACCCCTCAAGCCTCTCACTGCTCCTCCAACTGGGTCTGCCCCATGGTTTACATGAGCCTTTGGGAGGACAACAAGTCACAAACCGTAACAGCAATGGAAAAACAACGTATCCTAGTCTTGTTTCAGGTTTTACAGGAAAGACTTAATTTTTTCACATTTGAGAATATTATGACCAGAGAGCTTCTCAGTTTTGGGCTCTTATGAATTGACACATTATATTACTTTTAATTTGGTAAAATGTTTTAATCATTAAGTGTTGTTTTTTTTTCTATTTCTTTTTCTTCATCTAATGAGAGGAATATGTTTTTGTTTTTCATTTGTACCATGATTCTTCATAATTTTTTCACAATATGGGTAAATCTTTTATGATTGTGCTGGATTATTCTCTTTTCATTTTTTAAAGACAATAAAAATTAGTTTAAAAACATTAGAAACAACAAAGAATTTTACTAATTTTTTCAAATTTGTGAGTTTTTTTGGTGGTTTATTTTGACTTGCAAAAACTTTTATAGATGAAATCCAGTTGTTGATTCTTTTAAGTCTTTCTCATGCAGTTTGGTTTTTGGTGATGAACTTTCTACCTAACCCTATGTCTTCAAGACTTCTCCCTACTTTCCCCTGCAATAGATTTTATGTTCCTGTTTTATTATTTAGATCATTGATTGATTTGACATATTTTAGTTCATTGTGGTAGAAATGCATCTTATTTTAGCCTTTAGCACGTGGAAAGCCAGTTTTCTCCCACACCATTTATTTACTTACTTACTTACTTACTTACTTACTTACTTACTCACTTACTTTGCAGAATTGGGGATTGAACTCAGGTCTTTGTGCTTTCCAGACAAGCACTTATTCTACAGCACCATCTCCCTGGTCCACACATCATTTATTGAAGAGGCTATGTTACAGTGAATATGTTTGGCTGATTGTTTTTTAGTTGTGTCTGCACATTCTAAACGGTTCCATTGAACCTCGATATTTTTTTTGATGATATTACTTGATTTTGGTGGATTATTTCCATTTTTAGTTTTTAAAAAGAATAAAAAATAGTAAAATAAAACTGAAAATGATACAGAATTTTGCTCAACAAAATGATTGGAATTCAGCAATGGTTGTTATATTACATCCTGTTGCCTTCAAATTACTGCTTCATATTACCAGATATGAAAATGCAAAATTGTTTTTAGAAAGGTGAAAAATTAAAAAGAAAAAAAGCATCAACTATTCCTTTCAATAGATCAGTAGCAATCAGATGTACAGTTATCCAAGACATCCTGTGTATATGCATATGTATTTTCCCCTTCTTATTTTTTTCTCCCTTACCTAATCCCAGTTGTTCCTTTCCTTTGAACAGTTTCTTTCTCCTCCACAGTATCTATTGTACCTTTTGGATTTATATTTACTCTTTCAGGTTCTTACATTAGAGAGACAATACAATGTTTATAATGCAGGTATGATTTATTTACTTTGTGAGTATGGTGCTAAGTTGTGTCCATTTACCTATGAAAGCTTTAAATTTATCTTTCATAATAGCTGATTAATATCCCAGTGTATACATATACCACAGCTCTTTTAACCATTCCTCCATTGTTGGGC